GTACTCCACGTTGGCGAGTGCAGTTAACGCACTTGAGGATGAAGGAGCGTACTGGTGCTCGACCTCCGAGTATCCAGTAGCTACTTCTGAGCTGCCTGAGGGTGAGCTGTGTGCCTCCGTGGAGTGTCCTTAGATGAGCCTGTCCGATGAGTAGCTGAGCCAGTTGAGATTCCTTCGGAATAATCACTTGGTTCCGGCTCTCCGGGCCTATGTGAGCAAACTTGAGCCGTCCTCCTATCCTCAATACCCCTTGGCGATCGATGAAGGGTGTGAGCTTGGTGAGGGGGTGGGATTTGCTGAACCTTTCCCCTCGTGAGATCGCTCTGAGTTGATCCTTGAAGTGAGCTGCCTGCGTGAGTTTGATCCAGAGGATGCGAGCCTCTTCAAGATCACCAAAAGTGAGCGGGTATCGAAGAGAAGAGTTGGGGGTTTTCCTGAGCCGAGCTATGAATCGTCGACAGATTGCTGTGACCCTGAGCAGTCGGTTGAACGATGAGAATCTGTCGACGAGATTCCAGAGCGCGATTGGATGAGCTTTTACATGTAGGAGAACTCCTGGCTTTTCCTCGAGGTCTGCGCTGAGGTCTTTTTCCAGAGCGTGAGTTGGCCATGATGAGCAGTCTTGATGAAGCCATGGTGACCCTTTCCACCAGAGCTTATGAGATACCAGTTGGTGCGCTGATAGACCTCGAGATGCACAGTCTGCAGGATTCTCCTTGCCCGGTACCAATCTCCAATGAGCCTGCTGAGTGAGCTCCTGGATGAGTGCCACCCGATTTTTCACGAACTCCTTCCATCTTGAGGAGTGTGAGCTGATCCACGTGAGCGTGACCGATGAGTCGGTCCAGAGATAGGTGGTGGCGTTCGTGAGATTGAGTTGGTCCTTGACGTACTTAGTCAGTTTGGCCAGGAGGAGAGCCGCAGTGAGTTCTAGTCGTGGGATTGTCAGCCGTTTGAGCGGTGCGACCTTCGTTTTTGAGCAAACCAATGTGAGTTGTGATTTTCCCTTGTTGAGAACCTTGAGATAGATCACGGCTGACATCGCCACTTGTGATGCGTCGGAAAAACAGTGTACTTCGACGACGGAATCCGTGAGCAGTCCAAGCCACCGAGGTATGGTGATCTCTGATAACTGTGTGAGCTCCTCCCTGAATTGGCTCCATCGTTGAGCAGTTGTCTGGGAAACTGGTTCGTCCCATCCCAGTTTCTCGATCCATAGAGCCTGGAGGAATATCTTCGCTCGTATGACCACTGGCGCTAGGAAACCCAGTGGATCGAAGAGTTGAGCCGTTTCCGATAAAATGATTCTCTTCGTTATTGAGCTGGTCTCAGGCTGAGTGACGGAGAACTTGAAGTTGTCCGTTCCAGGATGCCAAGAAACCCCTAGAATCTTGGTGAGTGAGTCCTCTATGAATCGTTGTTCTTGAGAGGTGCTGTCAGGTTGAAGAGATGTGAGTAGAGCTGGGCTATTTGAGTGCCATTTGGCTAGCGGAAAGCCTCCTGACCGACAGAGCTGTGTCACCTGATGAGCGGTCCTGAGTAGCTCTTCATCTGAGTCAGCACCCCCGCAGATATCGTCAACATATCGTCCTTTCATGAGCGGTTCCACAGCGAGAGGATAGTTCGATCCTTCATCCTCAACGAGCTGATGAAGAACACGCATTGAGAGGAACGGAGCTGACCTAGTGCCATATGTGACCGTGGTGAGTTGATAGGTGGCGATATCTCCGTTTGAGTCGGTCCAGAGTATTTGTTGGAGTGGCCAATCTTCCGGATGTACCCGAATTTGACGAAACATCTTGGTTATGTCCGTCATGAAAATGAGCCGTTTCCGCCGAGAAAAGAGAAGTACATCCGAGATATCCTTCTGCAACTTCTCACCCGTGTGCATAATCTCGTTCAACGATTGTCCTGAGCTGGTCTTGTTGGAGCCGTTGAAAACAACTCTGAGCTTCGTTGTCTCACTGCTCGCCCTGAGAACTCCGTGATGAGGGAAGAAATATTCCGGAGGAGCGTCAGCCCGAGAAGAACACGGACGGCCCGAAACCCTCAACCCTCCTGAAGCCGAGGCCTCATGTGCTAAGGTCATTTCGGTGCCCGTGCCCCCCCCCCATTGAGCTGGCGCTGATGAGCTGATCTAGCGAGCTGTCCGGAGACTCGACGCATGTGGCCGAGCTCTTCATATTCCCTGAGGAAGTCCGTGTAGAGCTGACGATAAACCTCATCACGTGAGAGTTTCCTGAGCAGACGATGGAGGCAAGCGAGTGCAGACGATCGTGAATCTCCTAGCGAGGAAACTGGAGATTTGAGCGGTATCCGAACAATGTAGCGGCCAGATGCATCTCGTGAGTGGGTCCGTTGAAAGTGTTCTTCACACTGCGCTTCCTCCTCGTTGAGCTGAACCTCTGGTGTCCCAGGGATCTCTTCCTGGATCCAGAATTTGGTGAGCAGTTCGTTGAGATCCTCGTTGGTGACCGTTAGATGAGAAGTTGCTACTTGAGTAGTATCAGGACCTTCCGTTGGTCCGAATACGATCCATCCAAGTCGCGTGAGCTGAGCCGATGGTGAGTTTGGTCCGTTGGTGATGACTTGTGGTAAGATGAGTTGTCCATAGACATCAGCGCCAAGAAGGATGTCAATTGGTGCTGGTGTGAGAAAATCGGGATCAGCGAGCTGGAGTCCTTCCAGATGATCCCATGTGAGCTGACTTGGTGAGAATGTCGGTAATGAGGTTGTGAGCTGGCCGAGAGCATAGGCAGAAACTCTGAGCTGAAAGTGAGAGCAAGTGGACTGTATTGTGAGCCGAACCTTGCCTAATGCCGGCCCAGATGCCGTGTCTCCAATCCCCGATATTCGTAGCTGTGTCTTGAGCCTTAACAGCCCAAGCTGACGAACGAGCTGGTCTGAGATGACGGAGATTTCCGACCCTGGATCGATGAGTAGACGAACCTGATGAGCTGGCTGATCTGGGCGTACCAAAAGCGCAAGGCTGGTAGCCAGAAGGACCCCAGGGCGGAAGTCTGGAGCGGATCCGGAATCTGAGTGGTGACCTGAGCAGGAGACGGCAATCTGAGCTGGTGATCTTCATTCCGACGACGTTGACTGGCCTTGGTCACCAGTCACCACCATGGGGATGTCGTTCTCGTGGGTGTAGGTCACCACCGGAACGGCCTTTTGCTGGGTTGAGTTGGTCTGTTGCCTCTGCTGAGCTGGACGTTGAGGCTGACTCGATGTCTGGTTGTGGAGCATCGAGTGGTGGAGGCCCCCGCAATACTTTCCGCAATTCGTTTCCGAGATCGTAAGATTCGCGATGCGTTGAGCTGGCTCCCCTGAGAGACTAGTACGAAGATAATGCATCTTCTCCACGTTGGATAGATCCGTATTTGAGCCGACCAGAGACGCGAAAAGATCGCGGAACGAGCGCCAGTCCGCATAGGCCCCTCCGAACTTGGGCAGAGAAATCTCAGGGAGATAACGCTTGGAGTATGTGGGCTGAGCCGTCCCAGACGCGAGAGACCGACGAGATGAACCTGAGATCCCCCTTTTATCAATGAGCTGGCTTAAAATACCCCTTGCCTCATGATAATGCCCGATAGTAATGTCGAACCGATGGTCCTTGAAGTACGGCAATTCAAGGATCCCTTCGATCTTGCCGCTGCCAGCGATGAGCTTCTCATGAGTGCTCTCGAACTTTTCCCAGTAGGTCTCCAGGATCTCGAGTTTACCCTGGAGATTGGAGATTGTGAGGCTTTTCGCCTCTTCTGTGAGCAGCTCCTTGTAAACGCGTTCGATGAACGCTGCCCGAGAGTTATTCAGGCTAATGGTCGCCTCAAATGATGCCATAATTGAAAATAAGTGCGCAGCTCAAAAAAGGAATAAACCGGAAAAAACCTGAGTAAAGCGACCCCAAAAGCCGAGCAGTGAGCAGTGAGGAGCGATGAAATTAAGTATCCGGTCGGTTGTGCGGCAACAGTAAAAACACCGAAGAATCTTAATTTAGCAGGTAGCAGCAGTGAGCGATTCCGTTGAGCAGGCGCGAGAATTTATTTTAAAAAATTAAAAAAGAACGAAAAAGGGTTGGAAAATATAAAGGGAGCGGTAGCCAAAAAAAAACAAAGTTGAATACTCCAAAAAATTCCAAAAAAAAGAAAAAAATGGCAAAAGTAGCAAGAGGTAATTAAATGCTACTTAGCCGAGTGAGTGATGTTGAGCTGGACCAGTGCAGGAACGCTGCAGTTGAGAAAAAAGTCCAAAGTCCCGGGGATGAGCTGCTCCAAAATTCAAATATTCCCGCGGGCCGGTAATGCAGTTCCCTGATGATTGGAGAGCTGGACTGGTTGAGGTCCACTGCGTACGCTGAGCCAACGAGCTGGTCCCCGTAGGTTGAGCACCACTGACCGCGTCACTTCCACTTCCGCCAAAACCCAACAAAAAAAAACGAAAACCGAAAAATATTCCACCGATCCGGCTCGAAGGACCAAACTGTTTGATGAGATGCCTGGATCGGTGGTAATTAGGAGCGGATGGGCAAGTAATGAGTGGATTTGCCGGAGTAGATGAGCGGTTTCAGAAATGAGCGGACACGTGCACTTGAGTTCCACAAAACACTGTATTTGTCAAAGAAAATGTTCACAATAAATAAGTCACTAGAGATTGAGTCACTGAGCAACCGTAATAATGAGCGGACCGATAATAATGAGCCGACTAATTCCTTGAATTGATAATAATTGAGCTGACACAATGAGTTAACCCGAGTCACTAGAAAAGAGCAGTGTAATAAACGAAGTGTCTTTAACTAGATCCCGGAAACGAATGAGAGAGAGACACGGGCTTACAGGTGCCACGTGCCCTAATTCGATGGTCACATGACCTAATTTAATATAGATCATATGGTAATAAGGAGCTGTCCAGGACGTGGCGCCTCAGGTGTCCGAATTAACAACCCCCGGTCATCTGAGGTGAGCGCGTCAGGTGTGCGTGAGTGGGGAGAGAATGGATGAGCCTTGCGTGCGTTAGTGTGAGGGACCTGTCAGCTGACAGGATTTCCAACATTCTCCCCGGCCGTCGGCAACTGTAAAGTTGTTGACGCAACCATAATGAGTAGAGCCATGGTGAGCTGAAACAAAAAACAAAATTCAAAACGCTCTTTGGTGAGCTGTCGGAGCTTGTCACCCATGAGTGAGTCCGTGAGACCGTCCGGAAGGTGCGCTGGCTAGGCATGGCAGCATCCTAGACGTCGGGGGTCGTAAATCCCTTCTGCTTTGGCTGCTGTCATTCTCACGTTGAACCCCGTCGGTTGGTCAGGGTCGTAAATCCGTCGAAGTTGACGAAGTCCAACGGTGAGAAGCCGGTGAGCTGTCCTGGTTCTATTCCCCTGAAGGTGAGATGGGCAAGAGGACGAGCTTGGCGATTGGCCTCGTCAGCGTCGTCTGAGCAGTCCTGATGGTGACTACCCTGGTGAGTCCGTCCGATCCTGGGTGCAGAGCGGTCACTCGGGCGAGAGGCCACTTCGCTGGCGGGAATCTCTCGTCCGTGAGTAGAACCAGTGAGCCGATCCGTATCTGATGAGTCGGATGGTGCCACTTGGATATCGCTTGAAGACGTTGGAGATATCCCGTGGACCACCTCTTCCAGAATCCTTGAAGCTTCTGCTGAATGAGCTGCCATCTAGAGAGCCTTGAGACGTTGAGTTGCTCTAAAGATGGCTCTGGAAGAGTCGTGGGAGCCTGACCGATGAGAAAATGCCCTGGTGTCAAGGCTGAACAGTCATCAGGATCATCCGTGAGCGGTTCCAGTGGTCGTGAGTTGAGCACTGCCTCGATTTGAGCGAGCAAAGTGGTGAGTTCCTCAAAAGTGAGCAGATCCTCTCCGATCGTCCGGGTGAGATGGAACTTCACCGACTTCACCGCCGCTTCCCATTTCCCTCCAAAGTGCGGAGCACCTGGAGGATTGAAGGACCACTGAGTCCCATCATTGATGAGGAGCTGTGCGAGCTGTCTTGATTGAGCTGATCCTGACGAGAAGAGCTTCTTTAGTTCCTTGTCAGCGCCAAGGAAATTGGTCCCACAGTCACTGAACAAGGAATGAGCGATCCCACGCCGACTTGAAAAGCGTCTATACGCCGCGATGAACCCCTCGGCTGAGTAGTCTGACACGACCTCGAGATGGACCGCTGAGGTGGTCATGCAGACAAAGATAGCCAACCAGCCTTTGTACGACTTGTGTCCCCGCCCTTTCCAGGACCGTAGAGACACTGGGCCGGCATAGTCGATCCCAGTGTTGAGAAAGGCTCGAGCGGGAGTGAGTCTGGCTGGTGGCAACTGGCCCATGAGCTGTTGAGCGCGTACTCCACGTTGGCGAGTGCAGTTAACGCACTTGAGGATGAAGGAGCGTACTGGTGCTCGACCTCCGAGTATCCAGTAGCTACTTCTGAGCTGCCTGAGGGTGAGCTGTGTGCCTCCGTGGAGTGTCCTTAGATGAGCCTGTCCGATGAGTAGCTGAGCCAGTTGAGATTCCTTCGGAATAATCACTTGGTTCCGGCTCTCCGGGCCTATGTGAGCAAACTTGAGCCGTCCTCCTATCCTCAATACCCCTTGGCGATCGATGAAGGGTGTGAGCTTGGTGAGGGGGTGGGATTTGCTGAACCTTTCCCCTCGTGAGATCGCTCTGAGTTGATCCTTGAAGTGAGCTGCCTGCGTGAGTTTGATCCAGAGGATGCGAGCCTCTTCAAGATCACCAAGAGTGAGCGGGTATCGAAGAGAAGAGTTGGGGGTTTTCCTGAGCCGAGCTATGAATCGTCGACAGATTGCTGTGACCCTGAGCAGTCGGTTGAATGATGAGAATCTGTCGACGAGATTCCAGAGCGCGATTGGATGAGCTTTTACATGTAGGAGAACTCCTGGCTTTTCCTCGAGGTCTGCGCTGAGGTCTTTTTCCAGAGCGTGAGTTGGCCATGATGAGCAGTCTTGATGAAGCCATGGTGGCCCTTTCCACCAGAGCTTATGAGATACCAGTTGGTGCGCTGATAGACCTCGAGATGCACAGTCTGCAGGATTCTCCTTGCCCGGTACCAATCTCCAATGAGCCTGCTGAGTGAGCTCCTGGATGAGTGCCACCCGATTTTTCACGAACTCCTTCCATCTTGAGGAGTGTGAGCTGATCCACGTGAGCGTGACCGATGAGTCGGTCCAGAGATAGGTGGTGGCGTTCGTGAGATTGAGTTGGTCCTTGACGTACTTAGTCAGTTTGGCCAGGAGGAGAGCCGCAGTGAGTTCTAGTCGTGGGATTGTCAGCCGTTTGAGCGGTGCGACCTTCGTTTTTGAGCAAACCAATGTGAGTTGTGATTTTCCCTTGTTGAGAACCTTGAGATAGATCACGGCTGACATCGCCACTTGTGATGCGTCGGAAAAACCGTGTACTTCGACGACGGAATCCGTGAGCAGTCCAAGCCACCGAGGTATGGTGATCTCTGATAACTGTGTGAGCTCCTCCCTGAATTGGCTCCATCGTTGAGCAGTTGTCTGGGAAACTGGTTCGTCCCATCCCAGTTTCTCGATCCATAGAGCCTGGAGCAATATCTTCGCTCGTATGACCACTGGCGCTAGGAAACCCAGTGGATCGAAGAGTTGAGCCGTTTCCGATAAAATGATTCTCTTCGTTATTGAGCTGGTCTCAGGCTGAGTGACGGAGAACTTGAAGTTGTCCGTTCCAGGATGCCAAGAAACCCCTAGAATCTTGGTGAGCGAGTCCTCTATGAATCGTTGTTCTTGAGAGGTGCTGTCAGGTTGAAGAGATGTGAGTAGAGCTGGGCTATTTGAGTGCCATTTGGCTAGCGGAAAGCCTCCTGACCGACAGAGCTGTGTCACCTGATGAGCGGTCCTGAGTAGCTCTTCATCTGAGTCAGCACCCCCGCAGATATCGTCAACATATCGTCCTTTCATGAGCGGTTCCACAGCGAGAGGATAGTTCGATCCTTCATCCTCAACGAGCTGATGAAGAACACGCATTGAGAGGAACGGAGCTGACCTAGTGCCATATGTGACCGTGGTGAGTTGATAGGTGGCGATATCTCCGTTTGAGTCGGTCCAGAGTATTTGTTGGAGTGGCCAATCTTCCGGATGTACCCGAATTTGACGAAACATCTTGGTTATGTCCGTCATGAAAATGAGCCGTTTCCGCCGAGAAAAGAGAAGTACATCCGAGATATCCTTCTGCAACTTCTCACCCGTGTGCATAATCTCGTTCAACGATTGTCCTGAGCTGGTCTTGTTGGAGCCGTTGAAAACAACTCTGAGCTTCGTTGTCTCACTGCTCGCCCTGAGAACTCCGTGATGAGGGAAGAAATATTCCGGAGGAGCGTCAGCCCGAGAAGAACACGGACGGCCCGAAACCCTCAACCCTCCTGAAGCCGAGACCTCATGTGCTAAGGTCATTTCGGTGCCCGTCCCCCCCCCCCCATTGAGCTGGCGCTGATGAGCTGATCTAGCGAGCTGTCCGGAGACTCGACGCATGTGGCCGAGCTCTTCATATTCCCTGAGGAAGTCCGTGTAGAGCTGACGATAAACCTCATCACGTGAGAGTTTCCTGAGCAGACGATGGAGGCAAGCGAGTGCAGACGATCGTGAATCTCCTAGCGAGGAAACTGGAGATTTGAGCGGTATCCGAACGATGTAGCGGCCAGATGCATCTCGTGAGTGGGTCCGTTGAAAGTGTTCTTCACACTGCGCTTCCTCCTCGTTGAGCTGAACCTCTGGTGTCCCAGGGATCTCTTCCTGGATCCAGAATTTGGTGAGCAGTTCGTTGAGATCCTCGTTGGTGACCGTTAGATGAGAAGTTGCTACTTGAGTAGTATCAGGACCTTCCGTTGGTCCGAATACGATCCATCCAAGTCGCGTGAGCTGAGCCGATGGTGAGTTTGGTCCGTTGGTGATGACTTGTGGTAAGATGAGTTGTCCATAGACATCAGCGCCAAGAAGGATGTCAATTGGTGCTGGTGTGAGAAAATCGGGATCAGCGAGCTGGAGTCCTTCCAGATGATCCCATGTGAGTTGACTTGGTGAGAATGTCGGTAATGAGGTTGTGGGCTGGCCGAGAGCATAGGCAGAAACTCTGAGCTGAAAGTGAGAGCAAGTGGACTGTATTGTGAGCCGAACCTTGCCTAATGCCGGCCCAGATGCCGTGTCTCCAATCCCCGATATTCGTAGCTGTGTCTTTCTCCAGAGCGTGAGAGACCGACAAGATGAACCTGGGATCCCCCTTTTATCAATGAGCTGGCTTAAAATACCCCTTGCAGATGATAATGCCCGATAGTAATGTCGAACCGATGGTCCTTGAAGTACGGCAATTCAAGGATCCCTTCGATCTTGCCGCTGCCAGCGATGAGCTTCTCATGAGTGCTCTCGAATTTTTCCTAGTAGTTCTCCAGGATATCGAGTTTACCCTGGAGATTGGAGATTGTGAGGCTTTTCGCCTCTTCTATGAGCAGCTCCTTGTAAACGCGTTCGATGAAGGCTGCCCGAGAGTTATTCAGGCTAATGGTCGCCTCAAATGATGCCATAATTGAAAATAAGTGCGCAGCTCAAAAAAAGGAATGAACCGCAAAAACCTAAGTAAGGCGACCCCAAAAGCCAAGCAGTGAGCATTGAGAAGCGATAAAATTAAGTATCCGGTCGGTTGAGCGGCAAGAGTAATAACACCGAAGAGTCTTAATTTAGTAGGTAGCAGCAGTGAGCGATTCCGTTGAGCAGGCGCGAGAATTTATTGAAAAATTCAAAAAAAACGAAAAAGGGTTGGAGAATATAAAGGGAGCGGTAGCCAAAAAAAACAAAGTTGAATGCTCCAAAAAATTCAAAAAAAAGGAAAAAATGGCAAAAGTAACAAGAGGTAATTAAATGCTACTTAGCCGAGTGAGTGATGTTGAGCTGGACCAGTGCAGGAACGCTGCAGTTGAGAAAAAAGTCCAAAGTCCCGGGGATGAGCTGCTCCAAAATTCAAATATTCCCGCGGGCCGGTAATGCAGTTCCCTGATGATTGGAGAGCTGGACTGGTTGAGGTCCACTGCGTGCGCTGAGCCAACGAGCTGGTCCCCGTAGGTTGAGCACCACTGACCGCGGCACTTCCACTCCCGCCAAAACCCAACAAAAAAAAAGAAAACCGAAAAATATTCCACCGATCCGGCTCGAAGGACCAAAATGTTTGATGAGATGCCTGGATCGGGGAATTAATTGTGCGGATGGATGAGTTGGAGTCGGATTACGGGGAGTGGGATGAGTAGAACCAAGAAATGAGCGGAACACGTGCACGTGGTCACAAATTCACTGTATTTGTCAAAGTTATATTCACAATAATTAAATGTCACTAATTGAGTCACTGATAACTGGAATTAATGAGCGGACCGAATTCTATGAAAAAATAATAACTGAGCTGACACAATGAGTTAATCCGAGTCACTAGAGAAGAGCAGTACCATAAAAGAAGTGTCTCTAACTCGATCCCGGAAACGAATGAGAGAGAGACACGGGCTTACAGGTGCCACGTGCCCTAATTCGATGGTCACATGACCTAATTTAATATAGATCATATGGTAATAAGGAGCTGTCCAGGACGTGGCGCCTCAGGTGTCCGAATTAACAACCCCCGGTCATCTGAGGTGAGCGCGTCAGGTGTGCGTGAGTGGGGAGAGAATGGATGAGCCTTGCGTGCGTTAGTGTGAGGGACCTGTCAGCTGACAGGATTTCCAACACACTTTTATTGTGTTTTCAGATATCATTTCCCCCTTTTTAGCCCCAGAAAATGACAATACTAATAGCCACGCAACAGCCACGCTAATACCGTGGCTGTAACATGGTTCCTGGATTCCCAGGGGGTCAGAAGTTGTGTACAAAATCCCATGCGAGTGTAACAACTGTTACATCGGACAGACTCGGCAGAGGCTGGGCGCCAGGATTCGTCAACATCGGTATGACTGCGCACCCCGAGGTTTCCTGAAGAAAGAGAAAACGGCGTTGGCCACCCACTGCTTCGACAAGGGTCATAGATTCAAGTTTGAGGATGTTTCAATTTCGGACATCGAGAGTCATTGGGTGGAGAGGAATATTCGTGAGATGATCCACATTTGCCTACATGACACTGTAAACATGAGAGAAGATACTCAGAACCTGAATCGTATGTACTGGGGGTTGCTGAAGAGGTGGAAAAATAGAAATTGAGGGGCTCGAGGTGACGGGGTCGGTTAGTCACCAAAGGTGGCCGTGAAAGGCGCTTCCACGCGGCAACGGGGGGAAGACGAGGTGTGCCGTCTGTGTCTGCATACTCCGTGGTTGTGTTGGGTGGCGGGAGGTGTACTTTCTATGTCTCGCTTCATACTTCGTGGTTGTGGAGAGATACGTGGGGGGGGCTCTATCACTCCAACGCATAGTTCATGGCTGTGATTAATGACAGGCGTTGCTCTCGAACCCCATGTTATTGTTAGAGTATTTTGCAATTTTTAATCAATCAATATGTTGACGTTGCTCAACGCACATTTTATTAGAGTTTATAGTGACTACGTACTAAAACTGTCAAGGTAATTCTGTATATTTCAAGCAAGTGTTTACGCAATTTGTGCAATTTTCAGTATTACAGGCTAGAGTGTTTGTTTTGATTACAATCAATGTATTTGTGTGAGTTCCTTGGGAGGGTACCATTCGTATAGTTTCGGATGGATACACTGCCATTCGGACACATTTTCATGATGATCGGCATAAAGCGAAAAGACACGATCGCAAACGGACACAAAAATTTCCGGACACATTCTCACTCGCGCGCAACTCAGATAGCCGGTCAAAAAGTGGTCGGTATTGCAGATATTTTTTCAAAGCATCAATTATCCGTTGAAAATTTTCCTTCTGAACGCATAACTAACCGACTTCGATCTCCAAAATCCACTTTCGTAGTAGAAACTCGTTCGAATCAGGCAGTGCAGCGATTGAAGACGTGAAGAGATTGTGTGTCTTCTCAATTGTATGAGACCAAAAGACAATGTACATAACAAAATGTTCCTTAAATAAAAATGTCATGGAATGGGCAAATGAATGTTTATCAACGTAATGCTTAATAAAATTTTTTTTAAATCGTAATAATCAATTTTTTTTAAATCGTAATAATCAATTTTTTTAAAATATTTATTCATTTATTTATGTGTGACGTTTTGAGTTTTACCCAGAGGGAAAACTTAGGTAAAGATAGGTCCTTTTCCTTCGGCTATCACCGTCAGTGCGTGGAATCTCCTTTACACTACACCTTTTCACGTATTCCTGCACTGTAATCCTTTTGTATGGTCACTTAATCCTCAGCTAACTTCGGCGGTGAGCTCATGGGGGATTCGCTCATTCGCAGGGATGTTAGGAAGACTATGAAGGGATATTACTTGGTGATATTATGAATAAACACTCGCGTATTTATCGGTAAAAGTATGGTATTTTAAAAAATGGGTTAAAATACACGACTGTTTTAATTATGGGTTGATATACGCGTTCTTAAGAGACTCGACTAGGGACTTCGACTCGATTTTGGCTGAAGGCTTGAGCTAGAGGTCCGCTCGACTCTGCTCCTGACCGTACTCTTATGCTTTCAGAGTCCTCAAAACTTGGCAAAGCCCTAGTTTGCTGAGCTAAGCAGTCTCACGGTTTTCTTCACTAATACTGTCTTGTGTCATCTCTGACTGAGACTCAAACAGTCAAACAGTTCATCATTCTGAACTGGACTCCTGAAAAACCGTGGGACTAGTTACCACACGGTGTCCAGATGATACCGTGGGTTGCTGACCGGTGTCTGGATGACAGGAAAGAGAAATCATATTCCTCGTCCCCACCATCCAGCATTATAATATTAATTATATAATTACTAACTAAATCGACGTGTTGATCGATCTCAATACGTCACATGCTTAAATATTTTACATGCAAAAATAATTACATTACCTAGACGGATTATTATTAAAAATACATGGAAAAATATAGGGTCTTCTAAAATTATTAATCCTACTTAGTTAAACCCAACTCCTGAAAAATTTTCAGAAAATAATTCGTAAAAAAATTGAAACCTATTGATTTTTTTTTCCTAATCAAATATTCATCAGAGATGATACGGCAGAGATGCATAATTATTATCAATGGATTCAACCCAAAAAAACGAATGAAAATTTTTGATTGAAACTCTTCTAGCATCCCAAGTCATACAATAAAATTTTTAACAGAAGGCGTGGCATAATGGGAATGACAAAAATGTATGGGTTAACGAATCTTTGAAGATTTTCAAAATATTCAAATCCTTCAGATTTGAATACTTTCAGTTTCTGAATTTCAAATCACATACAAACTTGAATAAGATCCAAACTCCTTCACATTAATTAGTGGACACTGTTGCTCGAGCCCATTGAAGGTGTCTTTCGGCACGACGAAAGTCAACGGTCTTCGATTAGGACTGGTTTCAATAAGTGCGTTGGCTGCAAGGAGTAAACCGCCATCGACGGTTGTGTTCCTCAGACTGATTTCTTCCATGGTATTATAGTGCTGTAGCAGCTCAATGATGCAGTCGTTGGTGACTTTAGGACAGCGAGATAATATTAGAGTTCGAATTGTGGTGCACAATTCGATTGACAGTCCTTGGACTTCTGGACTATCAACAATAGACAATATTTCCAATTTGGATAATTTTGAAAGGACTGGAAATATTGCATCAGTAAGGAGTGAAAAACTAACAAAGTACAGATTCTTTATTGTTGCTATTGTTACATGCAATTTGCCTTTAATAGATGTAATATTTGTATCGCTTGGATATATCTGTGCGAGAAGTATGACCAGCTGATAGAATTGTGTCCGTTTGAAAATGTGTCGAGATATCTTCGTATTCTTGTCGTGTTTCGCGTTTGCATTTTTGCGTTGGAATGATTTCATTTGCTGTCGAATTATTCAGAAACATCAACCAGTCAGATTTATTCAACATTATGGATCTGCCGGATGTCTCTCTTATGAAGATATTCAACCTTTTGGATTGGAAGGAGAGGCTGAATGCTGAAACAGTTTTTATTTCATTAAAATTTCTTGCTTCAAACATTTCGTCTCTGATAAGATAAAGCGAGGTCAAATGTCCGAGCTTATTATAGTCTTTTTAATAGTCAAGATTATGTGTATTTTATACAGTTAACTTTGAAGAGCAATCTCGTCAATATTTAATATGAGTTCTTTTGAATGGATCATTTCAGTCTGTATAAAATGGAAAGAGAACGCTGAACGTGTTTAGATTGACGTTAAAGCAGTAAAATTTTCTGAATTAGAATGGATGAAATCACAAGATGAAATCACAATGATTTTCCAGCGATGTGGTCCTTTCGTTGAGTCAGTGATGGCGGAAGTAAAACGAGGGACAAATCATGTGCAATTAATGAGAGAATTTTGCAACAACTTAAAAGAAATGGAAATATATTTTAAAGATAGTGTTTTGTCGGAACTTATTGAATACGGTGACATTTTTTCACGTATATTTGAGAGAAACCAAAAGCTATCAAAACTCGTGATC